TAAAATATGATAGACAGTAGTTGGCTGACCTCAAATGGATTTGGAGTCAGACACTCATTTAAACAAAATATATAAATAAAACGGTCATTTTATACCGTGTCACACTCAATAATAATGTCTCAGGAGAATAACAAAATTTCTAGAAAACTTAAACTAATTTAATGAAATTCTAGACAGAAAGACAGCACGTCAGTTACTTTGGAAAGACAAAGCTACATAAATTTCAATGTGCCGTCAATTTAAAGTTGAAACACTAAGAACTATGGTTGACATTATTATACAATATGCAAATGTGTCTTTTGAGTAAAGTAGGTGCAAGTTGAGGTACAGTCAGCTCAAATATACACCGTGGAATGCATTTCGTTTTCTTTCGCCCCGAAGTAAAATGGTTCCGTCTTTGTAATACAATAGTTTTACAAATAAATTAAATGATTAAAACAAAAAACTAACTGGTGAACCATTTGCAAAAAGCAAACGAAACGAAAGCGCATACGAACATTATCGTTACACCATGTAATTCTCGAAGAGGTATTTCTTGTCGCGTGGAACGTGCGATGCGAATAGTGCGTACAAATTTACCTTAAACTAAAAATAATTGTACTTGTACAGATGATAAGATTTAAGGACATTAATTATCGTTTTTCTTATTTTTTTATGCAATATATTTGTAAACAAACAGACGGATCACCTGATGGTAAGCAATCGCCGCCGCCCATGGACACCCAGAACATACAGGGTAACAGGGGTAACTGGGCCTCCGGTAATCTCACTCACACGACGAAAGATAACGCATGCGTTGTCCAATTACAGACACTCGTCTTCATACAGAATCGTTCGATTTATACTCTGAGTGTACGGTACATAGTGTCGTAGTCTAAACGTACCTTAAGAGCTGTACAACTTCACAGGCTGGCTTCAATTCAGCTACCTAAGTTCAATAATTAAGTTCTTGCCGCTTCTTGTTACATTTACAACTTATATCGTTGTACTGTATAATAATAGGGTAAATGCCTAATTTTTAATTTCATATCCGTCTGGTAGATTCTTTTAAATCATTAGACACGTTATTTTTATTTTCTTACAGAAACGACGACTACTAATATCATCATCAACTATAAATGCCCACTGCTGAGCAAAGCCTCTTCTCACACGGAGAAGATTAGAGCATTAATCACCACGCTTGCTCAATGCGGGTTGGCGATTTCAAACTTATAATTAGAAATTATAAGTCCAGGTTTCCTCACGATGTTTTTCCTTCACCGTTTGTCAGTGGTGTCTAAATAATCTTAGAAAGTACATACAACTCGGAAAAAGTCACATTGGTACTTGCCGTTGGTAGGTTTCGAACCCGTACCCTCATGCATGAGAAGTGGGCGTCTTAAACCTCCGGGCCACCACGACTATTTATATATACTATCGACGATATATTGATTTGAAATGTCTCGTGACGTCACTTTTATGTACATTTTATACATAGAAATAACGTTTTAGCCCCCACTCCTAAACTTTGAAACGTTTTATCTAAGTTTTGTTTTATTATACAACAAAATAAAAAAAATGTGTCTAATATTTTTTCATCACCTAACTTACGGATGAATTATATTTTTAATTTTCATACCCTGACATCATCCCAATTGCTTTGTGCGTTTCTCACATTTAGAGAATTTTTGGTTGAGTTGGTAGTGTAATTTTTTCACAGAACAAAGCTTGAAATTATATCGCTAATTTAAGCAGATTTTACTTTCAACTCTGATTTTTTCTATGACATCACAAAATCCATAACCGTGTTTTGTGTTGTAAAATGGTAGCAAGTTCATGTTTTATCACAACACAATAAGTAATATAATAAATGAAATTTATTTTCATCAAAGTAAACAGTGACTGATTATAAAAAAAATAGGCAATTGCATAAATAAGTATGGAGTTCCAAGTTCAATTACTAAACATAAGTCCTTAATCAAACAAATTCTATTAGCTAGACTCCTTTCACATGAATTAAACCAGTAGCCTAAATTCCTAAACTAAATGAAGGCAGTAAACAACAGAACACTTGCTATAACCATTATAAAATATATTCCATTTCAAGATGACACACTGTAACTGCCTCAAGTGCCAGTCCGCTGAGACATAGAAACGCTTTTATCTCGCCATCCGATACTTTCACTCCCTCCCCCCATGAACGTTAGACACCCATAGGTATTTAAGCAATTTGTACCAAACCCTCTACCATGGGTTGAGCGCAATAGTATTTTGTCGATACTCGATAGTGACGACGTAATTTTTGTACCGAAATTCCAGCGCCTCTAGCGGTCACTTACGGAACTAAAATTTAGCATAAAAGTTTAGTGTCGTTATCGAGTATCGACAAATACTAGTACTGGTTAAAAACTTTTTTATACTCTTAGTATCGTATACAGGATGTCTTTTATAGCCCAGATAGAAGAGTGGTTACAAGTAGAACTGCCAAACGTGTGATAATGTGGTGATGAGCTTTTGATTTTCATGTTCATAGTAATTACTTAAGTCTGAAACTGTGTGTTTAATGACCAATTTATCATGAACATAAGATAGTTGTTTAGTATATCCCTTGCACGTGGCTTGAATTCTATGTCCTAACAATTAAAGTATTAATAAAAGATATATACCCTTCCGCAATTCCTGAATCCCCAACGATCCCCAAACTCCTAATCCCCAAAAGGCCGTTAACGCACTTGTAACGCCTCTGATGTTCCAGTTGTCCATGGGCGACGCCGATAGTCAACTATCAGGTGATCCGTCTGCTCGTTCACCGGCTAATGCCATAAAAAAAATATTTTTCTAGTATAAATCATTTGAATATAATATATTCAGATACTAGAAAAGTTATAACCCTTTTCTAACGAGTAACCACCAAACATTTCCTTTCCTAACAACAAAATCATACCAAACCCAAAATTTCATTTTCATTCCGAAAAATTAACACCCCGGGAATGACCTTTGTAATTCTCTCCAAACAATCACCGGGCGTATCAACCACTTCGCACAAAGCCAGGTAAATAGACAGCGGGTGAATCCGACAATCCCGCGATCCCGGGATCACGGTCGCTAATTCAATTAGCGGGACGCGCGGCCCACTATTACGGGATTGTTACGTCACCGAGATTTATTTGCTTTACCTACCTTCACCTGAAACGTTCCATTTGGATTGGAAGGAGCTGCGATAGTGTGATTAACACTACGTTGCTTTATACGCAATTTCTCGGCCTTGAGTTGGTACAATTAACAATATATTGTCTGTTCTATGGATGATGGGGATTAAGACGAGGTCACCACAAAAAAAGATAATTACACTGTACCCTTATATTACCTTGTGATTCACCATGTGAATGATGTTACCGGAGTTCTAATCCTCCATATTTTTACTAACATTTGATTACCTGACCATTGCGCTTCCAGTTATTTAGCTAAGCAGCATATCACTATCAATATTTAAATATTTATGTTATTTCCCTAGTAACGAAGTCAAGTAATACGTTATCACATCAAATACAAATGAGAACTGACTGCCTCGTTGGCCGAGTGGTCGCAAGTGCGACTGCCTGACAAGGGGTCTCGGGTTCGATTCCCGGGTCGGAGAAAGAATAACTGGTTTTTAAAAAAAAATCTCAGTAGTAGCACGGAGTCTGGAATTGTGCCCGGTATATGGCAATAGGCTCACCACTATTACATGGGCCTCATAACATAAATAGTGAAAAAAATGGGTGTTACATTGTTCAGTGGCATTAAGTGCCGTAATGTGCACCTCTGCCTACCCCTTCGGGGATATAAAGGCGTGATGTTATGTTATGTAACAAATAAGAAATAGAAAGCCTACAAAAACTTATTAACCACAAACCTTTACTCCATCTTAATTGCAATACAAAGATTTTGTAAACAATTTTTGCCGAACTCACACCGGCTCCCTCTGAAACGTATCTGTATTCACTGAGGGCTGATTGGGAACAGACACGTATTGTAAAATCAATCACAGTTTGTTCTAGGATCTCAGTTCGTTAGAGCTGGTAATGAAATCGGACACAATACGTGCTCGGCACCGTTGCTCCCTACCTACGAGCATAATAGTATATGCTGTGTTTCAGTGGCGTGAAATTGAAGCTGTGCTTTTTATTTATGGGTTATGAATATTTTTAAATAATATGATTATTAAGGTACTGTGCTTTTTATGGCATAAGCCGGTAAACGAGCAGACTGATCACCTGATGGTAAGCAATCAGCGTCGCCCATGGACACCTGGAACACCAGAGGCGTTACAAGTGCGTTACCGGCTTTTTGGGGATTAGAAGTTTGAGGATCGTTGGGGATTCAGGAATTGGGGAGATTGGGGAAGGGGACCCTCCCCTTCGGGCCTCCGGTAACCTCACTCATACGACTAAACACAACGCAAGCGTTGCTTTACGTCGGTTTTCTGTGACGCCGTGGTATCACTCTGGTCGAGCCGGCCCATTCGTGACGAAGCGTGGCTCTCCCACACTGTGGTTGTATGTAATATTAATTTAAGGACGGTAAAGATGATGATTTCAGTCGATACCAAGCGTCATAAGTACATAATGAAAAAAAACAATACAGAATCAAAATTGGTTCATCCATTTAGGAACTTTGATACAACATACACACGTGGACAAAACACAAAGACAACTATACCGTTGGATACTACAGTTGGATAGAAAAATAATTATGTAAGGAATTAAAAGAAAGACCCCTGCCGGGCAGGGGTCTCGGGTTCGATTTCCGAGTCGGGCAAAGTATTACTGGGTTTTTAAAAAATTCTCAGTAGTAGCACGGAGTCTGGTATTGTGCCTGGTATATGGCTATAAGCTCACCCCCTATTACTTGGGACTCATAACATAAATTGTGAAAAGTGGGTGTTACATTGTACAGTGGTATAATGTGCACCACTGCCTACCCCTTCGGGGATAAAAGTCGTCATGTTATGATATGTTAAAGAAAGACATTTTATTATATTATTTAATATCAAATTAATAATTATTGTATTGTTTTTCATCCTCCTGCTGCTGCATTCGTGCATCATTGTCGTCATAGACATATTCATGTTGACGCTTGGGTATGTTTGTTCTAGCTGCAAAACGAAACTAATTCTAGAATGACAACCTACTTGAATCGAAAATCTATAGAAAAAAATGTGAAATGTAGAATGGATTCATATAATAGCGACGTCTTTGAATACGTAAGTTACTAGGTATGTTATATTTTACGTTAAATAAAAATTCGACAAAGTTAAACTCTACTCTTCTAATGGTCATAAAACGCTTGATCTACAATATGCTTATTTTATTATTCTTAATTTTCTCTTTCTTTCTCTCTCTCTCTCTCTCTCTCAGCTTTCTTTATTTCTTTTCTATATTTATGATAGCTGATACAATATTAATTTTGCTAATTACTTACATTCTACTAGAACTTGATCACTTCTCAAGCCTCGCTTTGGTATTCGAAGTGAAACTGGATTTGCATAAGCATTACCTTTATTCTGTGAAGGTAATCTGAAATAGTTTATTCATTTTATTATTTTACTTTAAGGTAGGTACAAGTTTGAATTTTATTACTGACATCGAGATTAGATTGCCTAATAAGTTCTGCCTTACATTAATTATTACTGTAAACAATTTTTTTTTATGAGAAAAATGAATCTCATTCCTTCTCTCCAATCCAGATAAATTTCACTGTCGATCGAGTTGGAAAATATTATACTAAAAAGACGATCAAAAATGTGGAATGCGTGAAGTGCGGATGTTTCCAATTACTGTGACTTACTTTAACACCATACCTACGCTAGCGCGGCTCGTCTTGCATTTGCAAAGAGCAGAAAACATAATCATGCGGTTTGAACGGAGCGGCAGCCGCTAGTCGCGTCAACGTAACCTCCCCCTGCTCAACACGCACTATTGTTTATCCCGTTCATCGCAGACGCAAGGCGCATGGCACTGGCATGGGTTACGCTTTAATCTTCAAACAAATATAAAACAATATTTAACAAAAATATACTAACAACTGCATCAGCAACTCCTTAAAAGAGTTATTATCCCGTGCAGCCTTATTACTCCTAGTTTTGTCAACGAAATGGGTTTCTTCATATTCAGTGTTATAATAATCATTATTTGGAGTATAATGGTGACTTTGGTCATAATATCTGTTGGTTTTATCATCTTCTCTCATAGTCTTTAATTTGCTAAGCAACTGCTTGGCAAGTTTTACAGCTTGGTTATCAGGCTTTGGACCTCTCAGTAACTTGGCTAAAGGATCAGTTTTTGGATTACTTCTTGCATCTGGATTTAAGTTTTTCAAGTGTATTCCATTCTCGTTTTCTCTTATTTCGAATATTTGTATTTTGGGAGCACTACTGGCTCCTATTGTGGCTATCAATAGAGATACTGAAATGATTAAGAAGATGGGTCTACAAACATTGGTAGCATTAATTTTTCTTCGTATTTACTTTTACTCACATTAAAAATAAAGATGCATTTGATCACATAAATATGGTATTTACTACCAATCAACCATAGTTATGGAGATCGGGCAATTTTCTTTTTGTTAGACAGACCGGTAATCGAACAGACAGATCACCTGATGGGAAGCAATCGGCACCATCCATGGACAAGCGCAACACCAGAGGATTTAAGTATTGGGATTAAATTATTCTTGTGAGATTATAGCTACAATTTTAGGTTCTCCTAAATTCTAACTTTTACCGATCTCATGTCATACAATTAAAATTTATTGTCATCAATCAACGTCATATTACTTTTTTGATATGTTGTATGACTTCGGTGACTGCCTCGTTGGCCGAGTGGACGCAAGTGCAATTACCGGGCAAGGGGTCTCGTGCTCGATTCCCGGGTCTAGCAAAGTATTACTGGGTTTTAAAATAATCTCAGTAGTAGCACGGAGTCTGGAATAGTGCCCGTTATATGGCAATAGGATCACCCCCTATTACATGGGACTCATAATATAAATAGTGAAAAGTGGGTGTTGCATTGTACAGTGGCATAATGTGCACCTCTGCCTATCTCTTCGGGGATAGAAGGCGTGATATTATGTTATGTTATGACTTAGGTGGCAAACCTTGGCCCATTTAAAAATCAGTGTTTCGACTAAATAAATATAGCAATTAAAATATTATTTGACTCACGTATCCCAAAAAATATATTCATCATGATTCTCTTTTAAATAAATCCCGGTCGTTCTATGGGAACATTAGAAATAATAAAATTACAGATTTTTATGCTATTTTTACGAGTGAAACCCAACGTTTATCTTTAATATTTTACTATAGTGAATATTGTAATTGGAAAATCGTAACTTCGGGAATTTCATTTATTTTATTGGCTACCGATTGTATGTGTTATTACTATAACGTTTTTTATTTCAATTTTATATGTATGTGGAAGGAAAATTTTATGGATCTTTCTATGAGAGGTTTCTTTTTCACGTGGGAGGGTTTGCCACAAAAAACGTGAAGGAACGAGCACCACTGTTCTTTGTTCCATTGTTCCTTGTTGAATATTATTTTTAGTCTTTTGAATGTTTCTAAAAAATTAATGTTTTTTTTAAACTTATGTGTAATTGTTTTTTAACTTTTACTTTTTTTGACTCTGCCAGCATAGCCGTAACTACTGCTGGCAGAGACAGGTCTCGCCCGATCCTGGCAACAAGGACCCGCCGCTCTGAGGGCCACGCTGGGAAGCGAGTCGTAGCACCTAGCTTCACAGACAGAAAGACAGTCGGACTATTCAATTTTGATGTTTCAGAAGTGCTTGTTATAGGATTAATTGAAATACATGTTTTAACTTAGAATTTTTATCAGTGTTAGACAAAGATTTTGTTTGAATCGCACTTTATAATATCCAGGTACCCATTTCAAAGAGCCTGCCTATTTTATAGGTGTATAAATTTGATATGTCTACAAATATGAGCTGACTCAAGGTCTGATGATTATGGCTGAAACCCACGGGAAGAGTAGAAATGGTTATCAAATTCGATTCCACCGTCAACACACGGCAAATAGAATTATATATAATACAAAAAAAAACCAATCTAAACGCGGTTATGGTGGTTAACGTGCGAAAATTAATACTAAAAAGTTTATTATTTTAACCGCATCCGGTTCACGTTGAGCCCACCGGTCTTATCCGGATGGTAATGAATAAACACCAATGAGGAAGCAAACTCCGTAATATTTCCCATTTCATTATAAACTCTATTTATCTAAAAAACCTTATGAATTTGCGAGAAAGATATTTTTTGGATACTTTTTATAGTTTTTTATGTTTTTATAATATCTATCGTGAGACATACTAAATTAAATAAAAATCGCGGGTTACTCACGTGACAGTAGGCTGCGCGATATCGCCGCGATCGCGCACGCTGCTCATGAGGAAGGACCCCTCTGTGGGTCGAAACTAGTAGAGCTTTTCTCAGTATATTCACGTGAGTAACCCGCGGTTTTTAGTTAGTTTTTTTATGTTTTTTCAGTTTCTTTACAGTGTCAATTGTATTAATTTCATGTTCCATTTATTTGTTAAATGTCAAAGTCAAAGTCAAAATCATTTATTTCAATTAGACCAGGAAGGCACTTTTGAACGTCAAAACAAAATGTACCTAATTAATTTAAATTATGAATATTTTCAACAACATTGTACATAAATTGAATGGATTTTCAATAAAAATATCTTAACCTACTTGTTTTTAAATACCCCAAAAATGTTTTCCCAAATAATTTTCTTCAAAGAATTCCCCGGTGTAAAGGGAGAAATATCTAATCTGGCAACTTTTCTGTTTTGCTAGTTTTTATTCGGTTTTTGCTGAACGTCTCTGGAGACTCAAGGTTCAAACAGACTTCGCGTATTTTGATAGCATTGGATTCCAAAATATTTGACTGTATCCTTACTATAATATTATAAATCAGAAAGTGAGTTTGTTTGTTTGTTTGTTCCACCTTCACGCCGTAACTACTCAACCGATTGCTTTGATTTTTTGCAGACGTAAAGTTAGAAGTCCGGATTAAATAATAGGGTACTTTTTAACCCGAAAAAATTGATATTCCCGAGGAAAACAAAAGTATTGGTATAGATGGTGCTGTGTGTATTGGTATATGTCACATAGGCTACTTTTTATTCTTTTGTGACGCGAGCGAAACCGCGGGTAAAAGTTAGTGTATAATAAATACCAAATAACAAAAATGACTTTTACAATCAACTTGATGAATATTGATTAGGTAATTGCGACATTAAAAATTCTTCAGTAATAGATACGTAGTCTGGTATAGTGTATCGCAATTCGCTTTCATCTTAATACATACGACCAATAACATAACTGTGAAGAGTCTCAATGATTAGGAGGCTTGCTGTCATGTGCTGACCTCAATTTTCAACATTATAGTCAGAGAATAAGGTTGAAAATCTTATAAAAAAATCAATAGAATGTGCTAACTTGACCTGCTGTTTGCTGCCCTGCTCAATGATTTATATTTTTATGAAACGTTTCGTTTATTTCCAAATCGGTGACTTTTAAATAATACTGGTATAACTTTTTCCTGGTAAAACGATGAATGAATTTGAGCTTTAGAAATATAATGTTTTATTTTTACAGCGCATAAAAATATACCTACGAACAAATACCTACTTACATATTTAGAACATTCCTAATAAAAATAGATTATTTTGTTAAATTAAGTATGAATAAATATAACATAACATTACAAATATAACATAACATATATCACACCATTTATCCCCGAAGGGATAGGCAGAGGTGCACACAGAAGTAACACCCACTTTTCACTATTTATGTTATGAGTCCCATGTAATAGAGGGTGAGCCTATTGCCACATAACGGGCACATTTTCCGACTCCGTGCTACTACTGAGATTTGTTTTTAAAACCCAGTATTGCTTTGCCCGACTCGGGAATCGAACCCGAGACCCCTTGCCCGGTAGTCGCACTTGCGACCACTCGGCCAACGAGGCAGTAAATAAATATATACAACTTAAAATACAAATAACTAAAAACTAAAATATAAAACTTAAATAGATTATTGATATTTTTTAAATCCAAAGCGTAAAATGTAAGCTTTATTTGGAAAAAAACATTTCGGAATCGCGTATAGCAAATTAAGTTGTAATCGTATTAATAAGCGTAGGAGAGTGATGTTTCGGCATGAATGGGCCGGCTCGACCGGAGTGATATCACGGCAGAGCAGAAAACCGACGTGAAATAACGCTTGCGCTGTGTTTCGTCGTGTGAGTGGGATTACCGGAGGCCCAATTACCCCCCCCCCCCCTCCTCAGTCTTCCCAATCCGCGAATCCTCCACAATCCTCAAATTCCCAAAAGACCGGTAACGCACTTGTAACACCGCTGGTTGGTGGCGCCGATTGCTTACCATCAGTTGATCCGTCTGCTCGATTATCGGCTTATGCCATAATAAAAATTAAATGACGAATATTTAACTTTACTCCAAATCTCATTTTACATAAACACCAAAAATCTTTACCAATATCTTGCCCGATTCTAGAGAAAAGCCTCCACAAAGAACTATTGCATTCTCAACTCTATTACCAAGAATTTAAAACTGGTTTGGCTTTGTTTGTTAGCTTTGTAGATCTGTGTCTGATCGAATTCACGTGACGTGTAACATTGATATAGATATGATACGATGTAACGAACTGTAATGCCACCATGGAGCCATAAAGATGGCGATAAATTTTGCAGATTTGACGTTCGATATCTTGAGAAAACATGCGATTTGGTTCGAGTTTAAATCATATATTATATGTCATACTGTCGTACTCAGAGACATTATGGTTACTTGAACTATTTTGTTCCAAAAACAAAATTGCTGTTAACAGAATTCAGTTATTTTTTTAATGTCTGTTGGTGCGACTTTATATTTAACTAGCTACTTCTGCGCGGTTTCACACGCTCTGCTCAGCTCTTATTGGTCGTAGCGTGATGTTTTATAGCCTATAGCCATCCTTGATAAATGCACTATCCAACACAAAAAGAATTATTCAAATCAGACTTGTAGTTACGGAGATTAGCGCGTTCAAAAAAAACAAACAAAAAACAAGCTTTCCCGCTTTATATATGTAATAGTATAAGATTATTATCTGTGGACAAACACGGTCTCGCATAAATACTTACAAATATGCGAAAATACATCCATATATTTGTATCATGGATACACATATATGATTGCAATTGACAAAGGAGTCAAATAAAATCAGAAACATTACAAAACTTTGCAAAAATCACTTTCCAATTTCACACTTAACAAACAGTAAACAAAGTTGAAAATGAAAGCAACAGAACCAATCTAACCTATTACTAATAGACCATCAAGTTCTGATTAACAGAACCAAAGATTACATGGCTGAAAAAGGCGAAAAGTCGAGCTTGCACCTCTGACGTCATCAATCACTGACACTCGCTATCCTCATAGCCACTCCCTCTATCCTTACTGACGCATCCCGCCCCTGTATCAATTAGGACGGACTCGGTAAATAAGGCTTGATCCTGATTGTGCCAGCTTTGTGTTCGACGCATTCCATTCTCCATTGTAACCTACAATGGAGGACAACGTGTTACGTTTCAGGATTCCGTGATATAAAAAGTAAAACTGAAGTTTGCTGGGAGTTGTGTCTACATGTAATTGTATTTTGCTAGTCTTATTGAGGATAATATAATAAGAAAAATATTGTTTGTAGTTTAAATACATGTGAGTGAGGTTACCGGAGGCCTAATTACCCCCCTCTCTAGTCTCCTGAATCCCCGAATCCTCCACAATCCTCAAATCCCTAATTCCCAAAAGGCCGGTAACGCACTTGTAACGCCTTGGTGGTCCATGGGCGGCGCCAATTGCTTACCATCAGGTGATCCATCTACTCGTTTACGTCGTAGAGAAATCCTATCAAATGCAAAGATCTCATACCAAAATGGAATTTTGATTACAGTGCAGATACTCAGTAGTAGCACGGAGTCTGGAATTGTGCTCGGTATATGGCAATAGGCTCACCCAATATTACATGGGACTCATAACATAAATAGTGAAAAGTGGGTGTTACTTCTGTGTGCACTTCTGCCTACCCCTTTAGGGATATTAGGCGTAGTGTTATGTTAAGTTATGCAGATACTCTCACCACCAAAAAACACTTTCTG